AAGGGAAGCTGAGGCCTTCTCTGGGCCTATTTCTCTCAGGAACTAGACATGACATTTGCCTGGAAAAGTGGGTGACGAGGATGCCGTGAATTCTGACTGGAGAGCCAGTCAGTGGGTGAGAGAAGGGGCCAGATAGAAATCGCTTAGAACAGGATTCTTGCTTTTGTCGGAAGTCAGAGCAGGAGATCTCTGCAGTCCCTTCTAGCCCTGAGAATTTGGGAGGAGGGAGAGCACCCCCCTACAAGTGACTGCTGACTCTCCCCAGAGTAAGTCCCAGGGCTGCCTCGCTCACCATTCACATCCTCATTCCGGACAGTCCACGGCTCAGCAGAGTCAAAGTGGGTGTCCCCTCCAATGTTGGGGCCCGGAAAGTAGGCGTGGGCCAGGAAGCCGCCCTCGCCATCGAAGGGCGTGCTGTCGCCATGGAAGCCCTCGGCAAAGAAGATCATGATGTCGGCCTGCTTCTCATGGCCCTCGCGGATGTAGGCATAGGGCACCTCGCGGAAGCGCAGTGGTGTGGCACTCTCCCACACACGGAATGCCTTGCGAATGGCCTCGAATGTGGCGTACTCGCCCACTTTGGGGGTGTAATTCTGGATGCTGAGGTCCAGCCACGTGGGGAGAGGATGGGGGTGTGTTAGGATAACAAGGGGCAAAATCCTCCTTGCCTGCACTCTCCCAGGTCTGACTGAACTGCCCAGCCACCTGTGCTGACCCCGCTTCTGCCACTGCTTCACGCAGATGCCTCTGTCTCTGCCTGGAGAACTGAAGGCTTAGGGACCCTCGGGCTTTGGCTCTGTGGCACTGGAGCACACCCCCATGGCGGTACCTCTCTCCAGGATCACAGCCATGCTCCTCCCCACTCCCAAGGATGCTTCCCAGGAACAGAGGGGAGTAGGGCAGGAGGTCTCCGAGTCTCTGCGTAAGCACAACTGATAGGGAAGGGAAATCAGATGTGAGAAAGGGCACTTGCCTATTGGACTCACCAGAAAGTGATCTCATTATGCTGCCATTTGAGGCCCTGGATGGCATAGCGCTTCCTTCGGACATTGGCCTTGATCTCAGCCCCAAACTTGTCTGGAACACCACATCGGGGGCGCCTCATGGCCCTGGGGTGGGTTGGGGTGTGAGGATTGGGGTCAGTGCAGTGAATGGAAGAGAAAGGTCTCCAGCGCCAGTGTTGGGTGAGGCTTGCTGTGTGTCCGTGTGGGGAAGGCCAGGTTAGGAGGTCAGCGTGAACGTGAGGGGGCTGGGATCTGCATGTGGGGATGAGGTACGGGGATAGGAGCCAGGCATTCAGGTAGCAACCTCTCTGGTGCGCAGTGCTGTCAGTGGGTGCTGGGCAGAATTCCTGCCACGGTCTAGCACTTACTTCATGGTGTCTGCATCAGCCTTGCCTGTCACTCGCAAACCGTAGAACCTCTGCATGGCAGCAATGGCAGCTGAGAGTGACTGGGGTGAGCGCTGTGTGTGGGTACGTAGGTCCCCAGGAGGCAGGTAGCCATACTGCTGTAGCCAGGCCTGTAGGGAAAGGGCCGTAGCTTGGAGCACCCCCATCTGGCCCACAGGGTCCCTCTGTTTCCCCAGTATTTGGCTATGGCCAAATACTGGCTTGGAGAAGAAAGGGCAATGGGCTCCCAGCCCGGCTCTGGCGGCAGGTCTGGAGGAACTCCCAGGCTAGTCCTGAACTCTGGCCCAGGCCTCAATATGGCTTGTCTCCTTGGGGCTGTGGGCTCAAACCAGGGTTGGGGAAGCCACAGCTCCAGACTTTGGCTGTAGCTCTCTTGAGGATGACCCTCCTGGTGGTTTAATAGAGTTCTGGGATGTCTTCTCAGAGCTGTGATTCCTTCCAGTACCTTTCCCCTCTGTGTCAGCATTCTTACAAAGTCCTACAGTACATGCCACCTGGGAATGGGCTGTGCCCACGTTGGGTGGGGAAGTGTGGTGACAAGCTGACAGGGCTCTACTTTGGGGCCTGACATGAAGCCCTTTTGGGACAGGGGTGCCATGTCTCCAGGACTCTTACAGCTGGGATCTTTTTAGAAAGGAAGGCAGAAAAGAAGCTGGAGCTAAGGCTGCTGCTGACAAGGGAAGCTGAGGCCTT